CGGGGCAACTTAGCGGAGAGATACTGACGTGGGAGACTTTGAGTGGCCGCACGTCAAGTGGTGGACTCCTAGGCAGGTAGGAAGTGTCAAAGGCATCTCAATATTCAGTTGGAAGGATCGATACTGACTTGGGGTTGTCGGATGATACCTTCCACATTCCCGCAGACTGCGCAATCCAGGACGTAGCATCAAGCACGATGTGAGTTGGGTTGGCGGAAGAGTGGAGTATGTTTTTATGGTAATCTCGTTTTTCGCATTTGGGTTTTCCGTGAGTAGCTCGTTCGTGATTCATATACAGCCAGTGCTTGTCCAAGCCGTGCCAGCTGAGCAGTCCTGCAATCACATAGGACACTAGTAGCAATAGTTACCTGCATTACCCCAAAATGAAGAGAGGTCATCGTTTCTCGAATGAATGATAAGCTGGCAGGCTGTAGGGTTTCTATAGGCCGCATGATATCGTCGTATTCCTTGATAGCTCACACAGACCATGGGCAACTTGAAGCTGATAAGAAAGAATTAAAACTGAATGTCAATAGTCAACCGATAATACAATCGGAACCATCCGGTCGAAAACCAGTCTAGCTTGTTCGTCACGGTGCAAATTTCAAGTGTTGATCAAGAATTCCCACGCGAATGTGAGTTAGCTCAGGTTAGCTCGTTTCCGATTGATGTTCAGTCTTGTTCAGTATACAGTAACGGAACTAAGAACAACGAGGTCATACCTGGTCATACACTAGTCTGCGACCTTAGGACCTGTTCCTCTTGTAAGTACCGTTCGTACACCGTCAATCACCAAGCATTGCGATAACTGTCTGTACATATTTCCCATTACTGTCACCTATGCAAAACTTATACATATAACGTAGTGCCTACCCAATTCGAAAACTATTTCAGCCAGCTCTGAATCTAGAGAATGTTTCCTAAATGCCGATTAAGCGACACCAGTTGACTACTAAGTCGGAGTACTATATCTGCCCACTGTGCCTTCAATCCAAGTCATAGTCATCCTCCACAACACTTGTTACAACGGATTCTGGAATGCCATCCTCTCCAGGAAATATTCCCTGTAACAACAAGGTATATCCAGTCTTTGTTTCTTCGACCAGTTCGTCGTAATTTTCTGCAGTCAAGATGTGCGAGTTGGATGTTTGACTGTCAATGAGATACTGCTCGAAAGTGAGGAAGTGCATAATGGGAGGGTTCTTTCGGAAATCCAGGGTGATGATTTTGTCGCCAAATCCGTTTGAATCTATCTCTAAGGAATATCGGAATTGTGGACTAGTCAATAATCGCCTCCCACAATCCTCTGTTAGATAAGTGAAGAAATCTTGATCGAATTGAGACCAGGGAGCCGGGCGACCACCTGTTCAATGTTAGTATCTGCTTCCCAGATATCTCTAATATTTACCGGAAATGGCTCGAGAGCGTAACATCTCACATTCCTCTCGATGTTCACTCCAGTCACTTTTCTGGCACTTCTTGGAGCAATAAAGAATCGCTCGACAGCATGAACACTGCTTCAGCTTGGCATTAGTACTATCCAAAGAACACTGTTTGAATTCTTCAGCTTCAAAGTTATTGGAGATTGAAAGATACCTACATCGAGATTAGAGCAGATGAATTCCCCTTCTTTGTTAGCAGTCCTCCTTGACTCTTGTCTCTCTTCTGCAAGGGTAACAAATCCTTTCCAAGTTGTTGGAAAACAGATGTCGGGGTATTCGGTATTAGGTGGCATGTCGATCAACTGTCTATACAACTCTGGCTTTAGTCGTTGAGCAGATTTTACGAACCAGAGAAATGGCCGGAGCACAGAACGGTATAGAAGGAACGGTTTCATTGTTTCAAAGACCATATGAAGGGATTCCTCTAGAGCAACACCACCAAGAGTAGAACGACGTTTCGCGATGAAGGGACCTGATTGAATTACGGCTTTTAGAAAGTCATAACTAATAGCAAGGGGAATCCAATTGTAACTGTCGATGAAGGCTGCTTCAAGACAGTGGACACATGTCGCTATAGCCTGTAAATATTCGTTATCATTCGAAATCTCCAAATCAAGTAACCTGTGCAGAGTCATTCTCTTGAAAGACCAGCATAACCATCTGACCATGCCACCATCCAAAAACCTTTCGAACATCGTGTCGTGATGTCGGGCACATCCAAGGATGACATCCAGCGCAAACCAAAGATTTTCGACATAACACATTGGTAGCTGGAGTTCCTGAACTATAGAGCGAAGGATTATATGCTCCGAACCAGGCATCTGCTCTAGAACGTCTCCGACACGACTTAGTAGGGAATCAGGATTTTTTTTTGAAAAGGCCAATCATCGCAGCACAATGAGACTCTCGGGTATCTCTCGAGCAGTTATCCAGGACGTAGATCCAAGTACGGACAGCTAGGTCAAGCAAGGGCCCGAAGTCTTCTTTCAGTACATTTCGTATTTTGTCCCCGACCGCCTCTGCTACTGCAAGATCGAGATATACTGTGAGCTCTGGTATGATAATAAGAATCTTTGTTTGAAAATCGACCTCGTCAAGGCTCATGGATCTATCCTGTACCCTCAGCACGTAATCGTTCAAGAAAGTGGTGATCCACCAGCGGATGTCATTCCAGTTATCTAGGAAACGTCGAAATTGAGTGGAAGATAGCTGAGTGTCTGGACCTCTGTGTATCACCAGGTCTAACAAGCGTGCCAGGGCCCAAAGAGCAAGAGGTGCGTCTGAAAGGTTCCGTTTTCGTAGCGCCTGAAAGGCAAGGCTGGGAGTGGCAACGTGGGCTTTGCTTGCGTTGCACAGGAGAGCGGCAGCTGGGTATATGCCAGGATATTTGGATTGTTTCTGCTCGGCAAAGTTTAGCATCTACATATAGAACATGAGGAAAATGCTGGTCACCCCATCCATTGAATAAGTGAAAGAAGAAAGCCGCCGACTCTGAGCGCTTGTTACTCAATATACTATCTTCTGATGCCACTCTGTTCTTCTTGCGAAGGGAATGCCTTCAATCCTTCAGTATCCATAGACTCTCTCCCCGAATTGCACAAAAAGCTGCGCACTGAATTTGGTCCTGCCTCTGTCCAGCCGGATATAATCGCGACGATTCTCCGAAACGTGCAAAGAGATCTGCAGAACAGTGAACTACAAAGCAGAAATTCAGCGACTCAAGGATCGTAGTTTGCTTTTGACAACTCAGATGGAACGCTTGCGCCTGTATGAAACAGCAGTGCAGTCTCTGCTCTCACCTATTCGAAAAGTCCCTGACGAGGTTTTGCGAATCATCTTTGATAATTGTTGCGACAATAATGTCTTCAGAGTCGTTGATCTCCAGGACAGGCTGCCTGTTCATACATCTCAGGCTCTCAGAAGCAAGCCTGCGATGGTTCTTAGCAGCGTTTGCTCCCGCTGGCGGAGAAATGCACTCTCTATGCCTGTAATATGGTCTAGGATAGAGATATTGTAGATGATGGATGCGAACAAGTATAACTATACCGTGTACGGCCATTTGGAAAAATTCTTCCTGTTGTTTACATTCCTCAAACGGTCCCAAAAATCGCCCATGATGGTTTCCTACTTCGAGACCAATGGAGCGAGTGCTTTTCTGTTTTCCAAGGGGACTCTTCATCCGTTTTTGCAAAAGTTTTTTGGGCAGACAGACCGTTGGCAACGCCTAGTCTTTGGCTCTGCATCGTATTATTTCAGCATGTACTCGGCCTGTTTCCCGTCCCCTCTCACCTTCTCCGTCCTGAACGATCTGCGTTTGCCATATTCTAACTCGGACCTCGATATCACCGATACAGCACCAATGCTCAAAGAGCTAGAGCTGCCAAGTGGTGATCGCTTCTTTAATTCTAGTCTTCCCTATTCGCAACTATCTCATCTGAACTTCAATCCCGAGCTAGATAACTTTCGGAGTTTATTTAGCATGAGCCCTGGCCTTCGTTCCTTAGAGATAGCAGAATCACTGAGCAGTTTTGACAGTGATGCTGAGCAATATATGGCCATGTCTTGCTCTCCCATCTTGGAACTTTTGACCATACACCACGGATTTCATCTTCCCAATTCTCAATCAGTACTCCCTTTTCTCAAACTCCCATCGCTAAAATCGCTGCGTTTGAAACCCGACTCACGTTGCGCTACTAGAGAAACGCCCTGGGCCAGCTTCGAGCTTTTCGTGGGCTTTGTACACCGGTTGGCTTTGCAGTTGACAACACTCTCCATCCAGAGCTTAAGTCTCACGGATTCCAACCTCGTACATCTCCTTATCCATCTCCCCACTCTCCAAGATCTCACCCTGGATGATTCGCATCTTGTCGTCAGCCCCATATCATCGGAATTCATAGAAAGTCTCCACGGCCACCGCCCCAGCTCTCTTCATCCCCAGACAGAACCCATCATTCCGAGACTGCATTCCCTGCGGTTACTGAACGTTGGTGCAACGGTTTTCAGAGACGCTTCAGTCGTAGATATGGTTCAGTCTCGGTGGATTCCAGACAGGCGCTCTGCAAGCAATTCCGTGGGGACGTTGGCACTTGAGGTAGACTGCCTGAGAGAGTTTACGATGACGTTCCGAAAACGGTCCAAAGAGCAGGCTGGTGATGTATATGATTCTTTGGAACACGTTGAGCGAGATGGGATGAGAGTTGTTGTTTCTTGGGTTAAGCCAGATGACAAGTGAGTCGAGGTTGGGACTCAAGCTTCTATTAGTAGCAGTTGTTTTGCCAAATATCTTTTCGACTAGTGTTCATCTACGGTAACACCAGTGGCCTCATCTGTATGTAGCGAATTCGTAATCAGCATTTAAGGTGTATGATAGGACAGGTAATTCTAGGTCATCTGCCTGTCGGACTCATCAATATGCACGAAGGTGAAAAAAGCAATTTCTTGAAAAGATGAACAGTCAGAGAGAAATATTACAAAACAAATGCTCATTTTGTTATAGATACAAAAGAGAGCAACAAATGGTATAAAATGCACAAGAAAAAGATACTTCCAACTTGAATCTGCAACAGAGGGGAGTCGAACCCCTTTCCCGGCCATACAGGATGATAGTTTGGGAGGACATCTTGAATGGGAAGACCGGATCATAACCGTTATTCCACTGTTGCTTCATTAAGTTGTGCACACTCAACTCTTTATAGACCAAAACACGATATGCCTTTTAAGATGTACAATTGAATAAATAGCTTAAATGCACTCGAACGTGATACATACATACACAAAATGAAAACTCGAGATCGGTCAACATAAAGCTGTGGAAAGCTACAGTACAACGAAGCAGATGTATGCATAGGAAGGTAGGTGCAATGATGACTCCGAATCTAGGTTAATTTACATTATTGGGCAAAAGGATTGGTCGATGTACGAGGTCTGAACGGGTTATTGGATGATGGAGCTGGCATAGACGCGTGGCTCGTAGGGTATGGTTGTTCATAATAATCCAGTGGTTGCTGCCAATAGTCCCCTCCCTCATGTTCACCATGTGACTCTGGTTCGGAATATAGCTGAGCTTCATGGCCAGCAATGGCAGCATCTGGCAACCACCGCTGGTCCGTGACATAGCCTCCAGGATGATGACGCGGATCGCCGTGATGCCCAGGTCCAGGATAGCCTTGGTGATTGGTTGAGTGTCGAGAATGATATCTCGGATCGGGGAAGCGACCGCCCATACCAGGCTCTTCAGAGAAAGCATCCGAGGATAGGCGCGACTGGTTTTCACCTTGCCCTCCAGGGTATCCTGAACTTCTACTCCAACTAGCAGACGCAGCGTAGGGACCGTGATGTGCCGCGCCACGATAATATCCGGCACGACCACGACTGGTAGTGGAATGTGCATAATCTGAGAACGAAGAGGAGCTTTGACATCAAGTCGCAGGTCCAGAGTTGAAAGAAGGGACTCACAATGTCGTTCATCAGCGGTGGTATATGCTCGATTATCATCTGGTGTTCAACCACGGTCAATACCGCTCAACGCACGGAGACAAGACATACTATGGTTGCCCCCATAATTATTAGTAACATGGCTCTGCCCAGAGTTATCTTCAATTATGCTATTGCCAAAATTACTGTTCACTGAGTGGTTGTTGTGGACTGTCCGATGCATATCTCCTGCAATCTCATGAAAACTGCTGCCATTGATGCTGAAATCGCTGGCACCAGCGAAGAACGCCCCGGTTGGCCCAGCAGTCTCTGTGCGGGATCTGGGAGGTTTCGTTGGAGAGGGAGGTTGACGGTAGGAGTCTTGTCCGTCACCGCCCAGTTCATGTTAGGTGAAGAGTAGCTGTGAGAACCTGAGGACATTTGTCCGCTTGTCAAGGATTCCAGGACAAAAGACAATGTGTGCCCGCGTGTTACTTGAGATGCTTTTTATACCCATAGAATCTAGCTCGTGACAGTGAAAAGAAACTTTGTGTGTGAATACATCTGTCGGCGAAAGACGCTTGAGCCAAGATTGGATAGATTAATGTAAAGTCGCTAGATTAATGACCTTGATTAGGAGCACCGGTTTCGTATCGACATTCGGTGATATTCTAGTTCCCGTCCAGTATTATTATCGAGTCCTGTAACTTGCAAGCACATCTTATCGGAACGGAGAAAGCAATTATGCACGACTAACATGCCAACAAAGTTTGAGGGTCTGGTGGGCAAAGAAAGTCTTCATCATCTCGGATACAGCAGAGACAGGAGGTAACTTGGACCCTGGGGTGGTACACTATATTTGTTCAAGGCCGTTTACGAGCGCCAAAGATCCTCGTTATATATCATTATACCAGTCAGAAACAAGTATGGGCTGAGGGTGAAATGCTGATCGTTCGAGATGTTCACGTTTGAACAATCATATCGAAGAATATACTGCGCGTGCAGAAATGGGTGGTCATTTCGTTATGTTGACAAGCAGTTTATTCGCCACCAGCAACAACTATGAGTAGATGAAAATGTTGACGAGAGGATCGGCCAGTTACAATGAGGTTAAAATCAAGAGAATGCCACCACGTACTAAATTTCCACCATTTTATAATGGAGTCTGACGCGGCGACCAAGGGCTCTGTATCAAGCCACAATCGTTGCAAAAAAGTTAATCAACCTTTACATGTGGTCAGATACGAGGTTTCCTGCCAGTAGCGGCAAATGTGCAGTAATGTCTGAGGGCGACAGGCCCTTAAAAGTTTTCTTATGTAGAAGATTAGGAGTGACTCGTATAATATTTATAAAAAACATTGTACTGTACCGATAGTAAATTCTACGAAATTCAGGCGACCAGTATTCCACGAGATCTGTCATCCACAAGGACAAGTCTAGCTCCTCTGAGCACCTTGCACCGTTGCGCTTTCCCAGAGTCTACAGCGCTGTTCGGAAAACCTGAAAGGTCTGATATTGTAACCGTCGCGGATTCCTCGGTGTCAGACTGCTCCGATTGATCATCGATACGAAATAGATCTAATGCATGCCGCAAATGCATCGAGACGTTCGCATCGTGGTAAATTTTGAAGTAGTCCAATTCCGTCAATGACAGACGAGCGGAGTGAGAAAGTGCAGTCGATTGCTCAGACTGCGAGCGGACTTGTGATGAGTTTCTTGAGGACGGAGATCGCAGACCCGAGTTTTCTTTCTGAGTTCTTTGACACAATGCAGCACTTTGGGCAGGCCGGTACGATATACCTAGTGCACCAAGAGATTTCAAGTCTTTCAATGCGACTAGGAATTTCCAAAATTCCTGTAACGTGCTATGCATCCATTGAATTGAGTCTGCAATCTCGAGAAACGAACTAGAATCTAGAGGATCTAAAACGACAGCGGAGGTTGCGCCTACTTGCTTCCAGGGCAATGGAAGGGAACCACGAACAGGAATAATCCATGCAAGGCGGTCGAAATCTTCACACTGAGGAAACGAAGTATAGGGTGGTATGAAGATTGGCAAGGCACGGCTGTAGGTCGTAATAGCCGAGAATTTTGGTGATACGGGTGATTTAGAGAGTTGTATATGAGGCTGGGGGATTATGGTGAAAACGGGGGAGCACACGGAGTAAACATATGTGGACATACCTGTGGAATGACGTGATGCAGAGAACCAGTATCTAGTCGGGGGACTTTTTTCCTTGGGCCCGGTTCAACTTCTATTTCTGTCTCTTCTATGGGCGTACGGGCGCGCTTTCTGCTTTGAAACTGAGATTCATGACGAGATATGCTACTGAAATCAGTAGACTCAAATTCTTCGAGATCCTCTAGAGATATGATTTCTTGCGTAGTCGGTGGTTCATGCCAGTCTTTCAGTATGGAGTCTGGAGTGTACCGAGGAGCCTTGGGTGGCTGCAAAGAAAAGGTAAAAACCTGCGAAGCTATTTACGCGTCGGTGAACAAGATGGAGATGAGTCGCGTGAAATGCTTACTACTGGGGACTTTTAGTGGATTGGACGGGAGCTTTAAATCGTGCCAAATATCATTATTGCGTAGTTCTTTAAGCAAATGAGCTCCCTCCCGCAACAAGTTTTCAGCCACCACTTGGCTGAAGAAGTTTGTGGTGGATCCATATTGGATTTGGTGCACAGTATAGGGGGGCTGAGAATTATCTCCGTTAGAAGACTGGGAAAGAGATTTTTCCTTCATTATTTGAAGGCGAAGCAGAGCTGGTCATAGCCGAAAGGAGGTTACCAAAAATCCCATAAGCGCTGACAAGATTTGCCACGTGCACGCGTATGCTCTTCAACAATAACTACAACTTCAAGACTTTTGCTTGAGCAAGATGGTAATTTCTATTCAATTTAGTGTCAGACAATCTACTGATCTTATATTTTCAGTCTGCTCTATTCAACTTTCAATCACTTCTTCTCGTTATTCTCCTTGCAATTTGCACATGCACGTACGTTCGTGCAGTAGCACCGCGGTTAGTGGATAGGAATAAGGAAGGGTGCGCAATACAGCCCGTTCTCTCTCTCTCTCTCTGTAAACTAACGAACGAATTGGTCCATAGATTTTTGGGTTTATTCTTCATGGCTGCACGAATCGGTGCGATATGAATATCTGAATATCTATCTACCCAGCTGACGAACGATGTTTTCCAGGAGAACGCTTGTCACCATACGTAGCACTAGCATGTATTTCCATGGCTGTAACTATGCTTATGCAATGAGCGCAGCTTATTGCTCGACGAACAATCCTGTTAAAGCGTCCGGTCTCAGGCTTGGCTATGCCTCAAGTTATCATCATATCGTCAAATCATGTATCTAAGTGATATCGCCTTTCAGGAGTGCAGGAGCCTTTTCAACGGATATCTGACTTAACCTCAACAGCCAACGAGAGAAATGGAAGCGGGTTTCTTTCAAAAACGTGGTCTACAATATGAATTACATCTACATGGCTCGCCTTCTCTTCCTGCATGCAGGAGTCCCACTGGAACGATCCTCGCTGTCCATTTCTGGCTCCCGCTTTCTCCGTTTCCCAGCGCACAATGACGCAGAGAAGTCTAGACATGTCATCAAAGCGGATGACCAGCTTGATTCAACGCGTCTCTTGGGCGAACATAACGTGGCGGCCTGCAGCCAATTTTCACTTGAAACGCATCCGAATTAAATTCCTCCTCCTCCATATCTTCATCTAGTTCATTCTGTAACGAATCATAGATGTCATTCCACTTTTCCAGTCTCAAAACTGTAACACGGTACGATCCGGGCGAAGGTGCTCTATAGTTTGATGGAGCAATAAGTGGGTAAAGGTCGTTCTGGAGTTCATGAATCATTTCGTCCAGTGATTTTCCAGCCTTCCTAGCGTTGCTGACTCGCTTTAGAAGCTCGAACGAACTCGGACGGGAACGCATGCCCATGTAGGATGATGTTGGACGTGGCGGCGGAGAGGCTAAGTGGGTGCTGGGCGGGTTCAAAGAGTCAACAGAGTGATCCCCAATATCGGACCCGTCTGGGATGTTCGGCGGCAGCTCTAGTATTCTCGATTCGGACCTACATAATTTCTTAGTGAGCTTGACTCTTCGGCAAGGAAATTTCGGAGAGAACTCACTCGGGACTTTCAACTTCGTCGTCTTCAGCTGGCACGGGTACAAGACAAGGTGGCACAATCATGAATGTGGCGACAAACTCGGGCTGCAGATCAACGGACA